TACAAACAAAACTTTCAAAAGAGGAACAATAGGGGGTCCCCGGTTGCAGGCAAATACACACTTGTGTGTGTGTGGGGGGGGTGATTGAATAGCCCCCCCCCTTCAAAAAGTGAGGGGGGTATCCCGTCCGCCAGGGATTTATGCCCGCGCAACATGCGCCCCTGTGATTATTTAGTATAGAAAGGACAATAACCCCCCCCCATCTTTGTTGAGCGAAATTCACTAAGGTGAAGACACGCTTGGGCCTATGTTATCAATTCTGTTCCAGTATACAAATATCTTTTAAGATATTTCTATCCACAAAGGATCACCCTAGGGAAAAGAAAAAAAAAGTCATCGGTTAGGCCACTAAAAACAGAAAAGACTATGAGGAAATGAGATTTATTTTGATATGTGTTTCAAACACGTGAAAAACTTGTGAGCATTTTTCCAGATTTTTTGAAGTTGGTGCATTTATCACTGTGTCTTTGTATTTGCTGGTCTGAGACCATGTCTGTGACCCAGGCCAAAGGCACATAATCAATAACCACGTCTGTGTAAACTAACAAGACCATGCGACTGATATAGCGCCACCATTAGGAAGGGGAAGCAGATAAATGTTTTCGTTGGCTCCTTAATTGCTACCTATGTAAATTGTGTAAAACAGCCCGGGGAACCAGTTTTTGAAATTGACACGACATCAATTTACGGACAACACGCAGTGGTTCCATCAACAGCTGTTCAAAATGGTACGGAAATAAACTTTTCCATATTTAATTTTGAGAATTGTGGCGGAGATTCCAAATCCAACTAGTTTAGCAAGTTTTCACAAGTAGTTTATACATTAAAATCGCTAGGATGATGGAAAAATGTTTGATCAATGTTACTGCCCAGTTTCCGGACACCCATTGACAGTGCGTACCGGTACGGTACCGCGTGTAAAAATTGATTCTTCATATCCATTAAAAAAAGTTGTAATACATAACCTACACCATGGAGGTAAGAAACCTACCTCCATGCCTACACGTGTAAGCACCATGTTTTTAAGTCGGTTAAGATTATCACATGCAGAATAAACAATTTGCAGTGTAGTTTGCAGTTGAGTTCTGATATGATCGGAATAAGAAAAACTAGGCCTAAGTCATGTAAGTCTTGGGTAGGCATGGTAAGCCTATGGTTTTAATCTATTTTTTTTTAGGGTTGGCCACTATGGAAAAAATTCCATTGCATATGAATCACACGTTTTAAGCCTATAGCAGGGTGTGAGTGCCATAAAATACATTTTCAGTTCCATTAATTTGTCCTATTTTCTAAACCTGTTCTTCCCAGGTATTGAGCCCTCTTCCCTCATACAGTGCCCATTCGAAAGGTCTATAGGTGCAGTGCCCATTGAAACGTTTAGTAGGCCTACCATTGACCATGCCTAGTGTTCAGGTGTCAATGATATCAAACATTTGTAATTATCAACAAAGACAAAATTCTTATCACAATTTTATATGTTTAGATGGTTGTTGTCGTCTGCCACTGCCAAAGTAGTCCAAGGAACTTGGACTCTACAAAGCCCCATTTTTAACATAACGACATGGTCACGTGACTCAGGTCCAAATGTTATAAAAAGGCAATTCGTAGAGACTAAGTTACTCGGTCAATACCACAGGCAGGAAACTAAAATGGATTTAAAGCAGTGAACTCTTACCTTGGATAAATAACTGAATGACACGAACATGGCAGTATAGGCCTACTGTTTACTGTAAACAGAAGGCTAATGAAATCTGTCAAGCTGGTAAAAACCCCCAAATTAAGCGATTACTGGACATATCACCTGCTTCCAAATTCTCTTTAACCACAGCCTCTGCCATCATCTTCATCGACGTCAGTTGGAGGGAGTCGCTCCCCTTCCTCAAAGCAGGTTGCCAGGGGGACATCGGGTGGTGGCCAAGTCAGACAGAGGTGAATATGATGCATCCCCAACAGAAAAAACTATCTTATTGTCTTCTAAGTCTTGCTGTCAGACTTGTGAATGGTCCACTTTGTCAAGAAGTTGAACATGTGCTGCTCAAGTATTTTGCTTAAAGCCAAAAGTATTTGCCTTTGCTGTGTCGTGCAAGGTGTGACCTATCCTATTAAAACGAGTCGCTAGTCATCAGACCAGTTTTGAGTTAAAGGAAGTGTCGTTCAGTCGAGTACGCTTCCATGAGAATAAGTATATTTCCATGAGTGTGAGTATGATTACTTCCGTAAGAGTATGAGTACGGGGAAATTTTTCTTGAGAGTATATTTCCATGAGTGTGAGTATTACAACACTGACTAAAGGCCTCTAAAAGACACTTATGCCACATGGAGTCTCTTCTCCAATTCAGTGATTTATTTAAATAAATGAGCTGAGTTCATTCTAATTCAAATCCTCAAAGCTAACTAGAAGATGGCGTGAAGATTCTGCTTGTGGGATCCAGTCACCAGTGTGTAATGCAGGTCTGGGTTAAAATTTGCATTCAAGCCTCAAGCTTGGGCTTTCAGATTCACAGAACTTCATTCTTAGATACGTTGAGGAAGGTTTGGCGAAGTTGGCTTGAATTGTAATAACTGAAATGGGCCTGATTCTGACACGTGGTAAGCAATGCTCTCAAGCATTTTAATAGACCGCTGTACTGAGGACATGACACTTTGTTACATAAATGTATATGCTTTCCTGTGGTTCTCACTGGGAGGACTGTGGGATCCTAACTGGTTCCATAAGATTGTGCGCATGTAAACAAGTCTGAGATATCAGATATGGTATATACCTATATGGTGAACTGCCTCTGGGGAAGCGAAATCATGGACAACCCTTGCTTCGCTACAAAGACATGTTGAAACGCAACATCAGTGTTTCCAGTCTCCCAGCAGACTGGGAACATCTAGCCCAAGATCGTCAGACACGGTGGGCCCTAGTCCAACAGGGGGCAGAACGGGTTCCAGAGGATTGGGTCCACTGACAGGACGAAGGGCGTGCACGCAGGCACGCCCGAGTTATTGAGACACCTCAAGCCGGCATTGTCTGATAAGACGGCCCTATTATGCTGATGTGAGTTGCCAGTTTTCCAGAAATGGTACAGTACGTCCACTGAAAGGTGTGCTTTGTGGTACAGATCCCATTCACAGTGTTTGTATCAACCCCATTCATTCACACCAGGAAAGGAGCAAGCACAGCAGGCAGGACAAGCCGATCAGTCGCTGGGGGAGGTAGTGGGGGCAGCGGGGGTGGTATGTGGAGATTCTATACCGAAGATTCACCCGGCCTCAAAGTGTAAGTCACACTAGACCGATATTACAGTGAAGAAGTCACCGAACCATGCGCAATGGGGGTTAGGGTGACTCTAAACTTGTACCTCGGTTGGATTTTAAGGATTTGCTTGGTAAAGGTCAACAGTGAGTCAGAGTAGACTGTTCAGAATGTTCAGTTTTAGTGGCTTTCTGTTGGATCCTTCAACACAGTTTAAATCACGTCCAATAGTCCATTGTGAATCCTTCAGTCTTCAGCCAAGTCACAAGCCACTCAAATGAACTGTGACAACTTTCCTTCTTTACTGTTCACCTTGTTTCTTGATCTGTGGGAAGGACTCACGATGGGCTCAACTATAGCACTGCACAAGGGTCTAACAAACGCAGTGTTTGTTGTCATTGGGTGACCCTGGAAACGTTCACGCTCTGCCTTGGAATTCACGTCATCCAAATCCTAGCAAAGGTACACACACTGTATAATAGTTTGGGTTGATGTACCTTGTCACTTTTTTGTCGTTCATTTTGCAGGGGTCCTGTGCCAGTTCTGGTCATGAGTCTTATCTTCATCGCTTCAGTATTTATGCTGCACATATGGGGCAAATACACGAGAGGTTAAAGCATTCCAGCACCGCTCAACTCTTTGAACCAAACAAAACTCATCAGAGAATTCAAAGGTGTTCATATAAAGGACCATGTCATCAGACCATCGGGACTGAGCGGCACTCATCAACATTGGACTCGAGCTGTGCCCCTAGACATCTTTGTCAGCACAAAAGACCAGCTTACTTAGTTCACACATGAACTTTTGAAGCCAGTTTTTTTTTTCTTGTTTTAATTTGTGGGGAGTAATTTTTAATGGCCTGCATAGTTTTGTTGTCTTTTACAAAGGCGATTTGCATCCAGCTATCCATTTGCTTTCCAACTATGGAAAGTAGTGAACCGTGACTACGAATGTTTCAGAGTTTGGGGGGAACAGAGATGTAATAAATCTGGGCCGATAAGTCTGAAATTTTGTCTCATTTTCAATAGTTTGTCATCATTTTCACGAACACACAAAAGTCTCTTGCTGAAAAAAAAGGGATCTTAAATGACACAAAACTACAAAATAATATTTAAAGAAGTCCAACAAAGTGGTTCATTTTGTAAACAAATACTTTTGTTTGTGAAAATGCTAACATTTGTGTGATTTTTGTCCTTTCATGAAAATGGCACGCACAGAACACACTTTCAACATGCATAGTGCATGCCAGGTGCAAAATTATAACATTTGTATACATTTCTGGAGTCAACTTTGTCTCTTCATGAAGGCGTGAAAACGTTTTATAAATGAATATTGCCTGTGCTTTTATCCCTTTATTGCTAATGCAATGCCTGTGGAAGAAAACTATGTCTCTTCATCGAAACAAAAAAATGCAGTGTAGTTGAACTTTGCCCTGTGGAGATCATCACGATTTTGCTCACTAGTTGTTGATGTGGTAAGAAAAATGATTACACCAAGTTGTAGGCATCGCATAGCCTAGTTAATTTTGCAAATATTTGAAAAAAAAATCCTAATTTTAGGCGACTCGGTCTCTTCATAAAAACGGTGACAAATTTTGTCAACATCTCCTCCCTGAACTGTACACAAGGAACGAAAGTCTACTGATCTGGGGATGCACTGTTAATCAATGGTTATAATATGAGAAAAATCAGTAGTAAAAGGAAACTGTGACCCGACAGTGTTGCAGATAGGAAATACTGCTTGGAATTGACATCATTTTCAACTCAAGTTTTACTTCATTACTCGGAGGATCACACTGTTTTCCTGTCGGTGAATTCTGGATTTATTTCATCTCTATTTTCATTTAGGAGGAAGATTTACGAATGAAAACACTGCACAATACTATCATCAGGAAAGATCCATGTACACAAACACTGACAATACCTTGGGAGTTAAACCATGTTCATTTATCTTGGAATGTCACCAATAACATTTCATTCCAACCCGTACTAATGTACCTGTGCTTCAGTAGATTTTAATAAAATAAGTTGAATTGTTAAACTGGAAATTGGTGTTACTGTTTGTAAAATGTGCACATATCTACATCTACAGTTACATTCTATAAGAGTGACTGATGCATGAGGCAAAACTGCTCAAGAAATTACAGCCATATGACGTACCTGTTGCAGATTTAAAAACAGTACAAAAAGGGCACCCATTTATGTATAGCGCGACATGCTACAGAGGTTTTGCACGGCGGCCATCTTTCCGGAAACTGCTTGTGTTAGGCGGGAAAGTGCAAAAGGTCTCCTCATGTGTATCCCTGTGGAGCAAAAGCTCTAACCAGAAAAATGGCTGCTATGCAGAACCCCTATAGGGAACGAGCATTCCTGTTGTGCATCGAGTAAAAAACATGTTCACAAAATCCAATGGTTATCTTTACATTACATGCTAGTGTGCAAACTCGCATCTTGTAAACAACTGCACAGATACATGTACATCCCTTTTTCAGCCTGTTAAGCCCTGTTAGTGAAACCACATGTACTTGGATTCATTTCAGAACAGATTACATATAACAGGTGGAAAGGCTTGCGGTAGCACCATGCGAAGGAATACATCTCGATAATGAGTATGTGTGGTTCTGAAAAGAACCGGGAGTATACTAAACGTTTCAGACTGCGTGCTCAGTCTGTCGTCAGGAGACTAAAGAGATGCTGAAGATGGGGCTGTATATATAAGGTGGCTGGATGCAGCGGGGTGTGACGAGGATGCTGGTTATGGGCGCTCATGCGGGACAGGGTCCTGCAGGTCAGTGAGGCGTGTCAGTTGGGAATAGGTAGGCTCCGGGTGAGGGCTGAGGGTATAGGAGACCCAAACGTTGAGTATACTCCCGGTTCTTTTCAGAACCATACATACTCATAAGGGAGATATATTCCTTCGCAAGTTCAGGAAGCAAGGAATTGGAGTAGCTTTCTCAAATTCAGTACCAAGTCCTTACCACATAAAAAGGGCAAACGGCGAAACATTTGAAAGCTGTGGTTCTGATGAAAAAACAGGTGGGGTGGTTATTGGTGTAGAAAGATTTACAACATTTACGTACTTTGAAACATGCTAAATGTGGAGGTTGACGTACAAATAGGCAAATCAATAGCAACGGATAAATGGCAGATTGAGTGTGCTGTCTCAGACTGCTTAAAATGACCTCCAGCACACAAATCTACCGTGGAATTAGTACGTGCAAGTGAATTTAATGAGGGTGTTACAGTAATTGAAAAGAAAATAGGACAAAATGTGCAAGCTTTGTACAAACTAAACCAAAAGCACAGGAAATCCATCCAAATTTCATTCATAGGTTGTGCGTCTTCTTCAATACTGTCTAAAGGGTAAATAAAGAAAAGTACTCTTTTCAGTAAATGACTTAACTGAAATTTCGCAAATATTCTTGAGGAGATTCACAAAGTAAGCAAACTTACTGTTAACAATTTCTTAATTCTAACTAATGATTATGCATTTGGCATATATGTATATCCACTGAAATACATAACGTTTAATCTTTCTAACACTTGTGATAAAAATAGAACTCCACGTAGTTGTCTACAAGTGTGTTCTCCCATCTTGCCCTCCCCATTAGGCCCCGCCCTCAAATCTTGCTACAGATCCCAACTGTTTTCTGTTCGTAATGAAGAAAGTAAACGAGAACACAGAAGTGCTATTTATGGCGAACATATTTCACTTGATCATCACAATTGCTTCCCATTGTTAATTGTTGCAAGCTGTACTGTCAGCCAATATCAAATCAATACAAACATTCTGGTTTGGGGATTTCTGTGATGAAAAATAAGAAAACAATGTGGCAACTCCCCCCCCCCCATAAAACACCCCCACTGATTAGGTTGACTTCAACCCAAGTTTAGAACACCATGATATTTAATTTCAAAACTGCAATCATCCATTAAAAACAATGCAAAATCTATATACACTAATGAGATGCATATGATGTAGCCTTTAAAACCAGCACTCACTGACGCTCAGACTTGAAAGTGTGATGTCCGAGTTTGTCCCTGATAAGTTATTTATAGGTTTAAACAAAAAAATAGTGTCCAAAGAACAAAATAACGGCAAATTTGCCAAAAAAGGAGGCTAGTATTTCAGTAGTCAAGGGTCTACATCACACTTCAGTCAGTTATGTCTTGTTTGACCAAGGCATATTTCACAGATGGCCAACACTGCTAAAGGTCAGGTTAGAATCAACCGGCTATGGCTAGGACATGGCTGTAGCCATTTGCCAGTGGCTGGTATTGCCAGCCATAGCCAGTTGATTTGGACACATCCACATTTGGGTTGCTGCATATTGGCACTGTCAGAGCGATTCATGCTCAAACTCTTAGGTGTGCGACAGCAATATCAAGATGATTTTGTATACATGCAAATGGCCCAATTCGTCCACGTAACTCCAAACTCAACTTCTGCGGTGAATTTTTGACAATTCAGCAGACACAGCAGAGGCATACATGCAACAACATATACATTAATAGTCTAGTCATGTATAAATAAGATCTTAACTTTGTACTCCGACTATGTTAAAAAAAAAACATCCCCATACTCATACAATACAGCTGTAAAAATAGATTAAATAATCTTTCTATTTGCTCAAGAATCACCAAAAAATGGCAACTGAGACTTTTCAAGTTATTGTTGGGCATTGCTGCAACGCTGTGAATTCAGCAACATATTCCTCTTCTCCAACTTCTTAGTCTTGATAAAAACCGACACAAGCAGTAACTATAGTGTAGAGATGGTGCACACAGAACGTGCTTGTTCTGCAACCAATACAAGAGAGTACATAAACCTATTCGAAAGCACTACTTTATTACTGGCCTGAGGATTGGATAAGATTTTTGTTAGTAACTTTATAACAGCTTTGTTAGAATTAACAATCACGGCAAATCTGAAACATTCCATTGATAGATTTTATAAGACAGTACGTGTATATGACACTACCAAAGCCCTCATACTTAAAGTGAAAGCTGTACATTTTGTTACTTTAACATGAGCACTTCGCTCACAGAAAAAAAAAACCAGTTGTAAAAGTTTATTGCATGTTCCTGTNACTGTGCGTATCACTGTTGCTCTCAAATTGTTACCTCTTAAAAGGTAAATTCTTAGTGATCCCAATCTAAGGTCAACTACTGCAATGTCAAACGGGAAGACTACTTCTGTAATAGCAGGTGGTCTGAGTGCAGAGCCCACGACTTTTAATAAGTCACTGGTCATTTCCTAGGTCCAAGCAAGCAACCTTGTGCAAAGACCATTCCAAATGGCAACACATTGTGAAAAGTGTGACCTCTACGGTGTCTACGCTGACAATGATAATCAACCCTAACTAATCCCAGATCCTCTAATTTCAGTACGATTTTACATACACCCTTAGGGTTAGGGTTAACGTAATGTCTGATATTATTTCAAGTAATCTAAGGAAAGGTTTGGGTGTGGACTATAGTTTTAGAACTGGTCAAGTGTTTCTTACCAATGCTAGCATGCAACACAGCCTAATTCAAATGACCAAAGTCAGCCTATTTTGTAAAATGCTGGCGTCAATCACACTTTGCTGTTGATACATCCCTCTTGCATTCATAGTCTGTCCCATGTCATACAATCGGCCTTAAACACAAGTCAGCCATGTTTGAATTAAAACTGCGGCTCACTTTTCATATTGGAAACTTAAGAAAAAAATGAAAACAATGAAACAAAGTTTTTTACAAATAAATGTCATTTATGCTGATGAGTAATTTGAAATTTGCGATCTGTTATATCTAAACATGTCCTCAATATTTATCAAAAAAAGGAAAAACGAAGCATAGAATCCAAACTAGTTTGGCACTACCCCCATGTAACAGATTACATTGAGTGAGATAGATTCTTGGGACATGATCAAAAATGAGTAAACTAGATACATGTAGGTTTGCAGTAGCACCATGAATATATCTCTTTTTGAGTATGACGGGTTCTGAAAAGGGACTGAAAAGGAGACTGATTTCGGACAGAGCATACTGTCCGAAACGTTGAGTACCATCGGTTCTTTTCAGAACCCCACATACTCAAAAAGAGATATATCCATGGTGCTACCACAAACCTATCTAGTTTACTTGCTACCTCCACCGACCAAGAATGGCTTCCCCTGTGAAAGAGGTCTGTTATTTTCATGTCAATGGCTCCCTTGTACTCGAGGCTACTGACAACCGGTGATGGGACCGTAACCAATGGCCTGTTTCCGTTATGGTTCATCGAAACAGCGACCATCCACTGACTGGTCCAATGACTGACCATACTCATACTGCCTACTACTCATCTGGACAGCCAAAGTTTACAGAAATATCACCCTTTGTTCCTGACAGGTGTTGCCTCAAAATGAACATCTGTCTCTTTACTTTCATGAGGCTTGAGCATTTATTTAGTATTCAGTAAAAAGCTNAATGTGCGTATCACCGTTGCTCTCAAATTGTTACCTCTTAAAAGGTAAATAGTGAAAAATGCCGGTAATGCCCAGCAGCCTGGTCTTTTGTAAGGAGTACGGTCTTTTGTTACAGGGCCCTGTTTCCTTTGTCTGAGTTCGGAGACCCCGGCCACCCATATAAACCATACGCCTCTGATCACGGAGTCCCCGGCAGGAAGTGGTTAACAGTTTGTGAATTAAACTTCTACATTTGAACTGACCGCTGGCCATAGTTTACCAGCCACTGGTGGGCAAAAACATGACCGTGACATCAAAAGGGAGGGGTTTATAGTTACAGTCACCGAATTCAATTTTAACAACCCAGTAGTTATCGTAGTTAGATACTGGACAAGGCAGTCATTGATACCTACCCCTACGTAATACCTATCTTGTGGAAAGGAAAGAATGAGGAGATATGACTAAATGATACAAAGCCAGCTCTAGCTTGGAAAACATTCAGACAGAAATATCCAGGCACAGAGATGCTGCAGATAAACCATGTACCAATTGACGCTTGAAATACAGAATCTCAGTAGTGTTTACACACCCCCGCCACTGCGATCTGTCGAGATCACTTTGCGGGCTCCCATGTTCAGGGCAATCTCCAGGCGAACGTTGGCCATGGCACCTGTCTTGATGGCACTCATGAGCTGTGGGTAAGATCACAAAGGGATTACAAAAAATAAATCAGTGGTGTTACAGCCTGGAAAGCAATCTCTATAACGAGGTTGACATTCTTAGTGTTCATGTCTATCTATGTTGTTAAGGGCTGTGTTAGGTAGCGCTTGAAGGTTTGCATGGCGGATCGACAATTAGTTAAGGATTTTTATGTATGCTATGTTGTGTCAGTGAACTCAGCGAAGATAGGTTAAATTGGACAAAACCACTGAGTTAGTGTCAAACATTTGAGTCAAATTCAACCTCACGAGGCCTTTGAAACTATTGAAATTTCTCACTTTGGCTTTCTATATAAGTCTCTAAAACCCTTTTTTCTTTATGGCTATCAGTTTTGCTTTTGAATTGTAATTAGTCAAAACAGATGAAATTTTAAAAAAAGTTTTTAAAAATTCCAAACAGCTCAAACAGCTCAAGCCTATGAGCAATAATCTGCCTCAGTGCTAACCTGTAGGAACTCATCCAGTTCAACACGTCCATTCTTATTGCAATCTACTTCTTGCAGCATGTCGCGCAGCTGGTCTTCAGTTATTGTTTCACCAACACTCTGCATTTTATCCAGGACGAAACAGAAACTAAGAGATTGGTCACTAGGCACGTACAAAGGTAATTACAAGCGAATTGGGAATGAAGCATAAAATAATAAATATTCAAAGTGCTACTTCGTGCATATTCATGAAACAGCCATGCACTGCCAAAGAGGGTCATGTACTAACAAAAGCTGAATCCTCACATGATACAAAATGGATCTGTTTGCTCAAAAGCCACAACAAGATATGGAAGGAAATTATGATGTTGACATATGCTCTATGATAGTCAACGGCCATTTTGAAAACTGCTACCAAAGGAATGCTATGGAATGCATTACTGTTCACCGTGCTTCCAAGCTACCATAACTAATATCAATGTTATGTACTTTGTGCCAAAGGAAAAGACTACTTCACATAGGTTTATCACAACTTCACGATAAAACGGTGTTTGATGTGTAGAGGAAACTCCTCCTTTGCTTTCTGATAAGGGCACACATCACCGGATCTCACACCTTTCACTTTGCTCCTCATTTGCATTAGGAAGAACAATCTGACCTCTTTGTTTTTACATATCCAAACGAAGACGGACATTTCTGAGAGTTAAAAGAAACCGCCAGTTCCTTTGGATTTGCACTGTGAAGGGCCTGCAACTCCATAATAGCCCTACTGACTTCCAGCTAGGTCTTATGAAAGACTCAAGGGTGCGTTCCACTAAATGGTAAATTCCTGTATGAAAGCCTTCTCATAGTTTGTGATCCCATGGGTTAGTTACCAATCAGAGGTACCATAATCAGGACCAATTGTAGCACTTTTTCTATAAGTTTTCTAAAAGTCAAGCATTTGGGATTTGTGGCGTCCAACTCGGGGTATTTCATTCACAAAAATCTCCAACTCATGGGCCTATATTGCATATAGAGATGGGGGGCTTCATTCAAACTTGTGCGGGGTTTGACTACTTTTTAGGGATAGTTTGGGAGGATAATAAAAATGGGGGGGGGGCTGCCCTAGCAGTCATAATGTTGAGTTGCAGTGAAACAAGCAGTCGCCCTCTTCCTGGGTGTCAGTAGATGGCACTATTTCTCACCGACTTTATGCTGTTTTTTGGGGGAGGGCACTTATTCGGTGTGGTGTGACCTTGACTTACAGACAGGAAGTTGCGCATGTCGATGGGCGTGATGTACCCCTTGCTGTCCTTGTCCAAGAGATGGAATCGCTTGGTGTACTTAGCAATCTCCTCATTGCTGAACTGAATGGGGACTTTCAGGAGGGAGGAGTGACAGTTGTAACCCATCTCCACGTTCAGGAACCTTGTGGCTTTCTCGAGTTCCAGCTGCAAGGGAATGGGCAATTGGGATTTCTGAGTCCTGTCTCGTGGGACGTTCTCATGAGTTTTGCTGAATACTCCACTTCGGTAGATGAAAAAAAAGAGTTCAAGTACATGCAGCAGGGATGAGATTGTTAGTTTTGAAAAATACTTAAAACTGTATACACAAATTTCTGTGAGATGCATTTCTTCCTATACTGATAAAGCTTTTTATCAGATACAAAATGTTTGAATTCAGACAAAAGTCTGCAATATCTCATGCCTGATGCAGTTCAACTGTATTCCTGCAGGTAGGTCAGAAGAATGACTTCAGTATTTTCAACTAACCATTACCCACCTTCCATCTGCCTGGTGAGAGCTACTTGACAATTTAACTAGACAGTTGAGCAAAAATAATCGATTAATAGATTTTGTGAGTGCACGGCAAGAACTTCACTGGTTTGGAATTTGAAATTTACTTCATTCTGAGGTACGCATTTAAAAATTGCCATGGAAGTTGTGCACAATCCGAGCCCACATGGGCAGACTGTTAGCTGTGTGCCTGTGGGTGATTTTTAAAGATTACGGAAGGAACGATGCACGGCCCATCCAATATTATGCTGCACTGAGCACGATGCTCTTTGAAAGTTCGAAGAATGGGTCATTGGTTTCCTGCACAGTGGACGTTTTGGAAGTTAAGGGTTGGAAGCGTTGGAGTCAGCTACCTTTTGCCTTGCACTACTCCAGCCCAACTCCTTGGCCATAATGTCAATGATGCGGGGCAAGGCCTCCTCCGCTGCCATCACGTTAAGAAAGGCCAAGCGTGTCCTCCGAGCAAGAACATCGATAGCTGTACAAGCGTACTCCTTCACTGCATAGGCCACCTGTTGGGTTGGGGGAGGGGTGGGGGAAAATGAAATTTCAAACAAACATGATGACATTTACTGGTCTTGAAAGGTCGGCGTTGTTTATGTCAGCGCAGGGATCAAAACAAGCTGCAAATGAAAATCTCATATTGCATCAAATTGTGAGAGCCCCACCAAAACATGTTTGTTTTTGAGTTTGGCCAAGCTACATGTTTTTCTGCACAGTCCTCTGTCAGCCACAGAAACGAGATCTTTTCATCAATCAACTGTTTATCCCATCGTGGCACGGAAGTGTACTTTCCAAGTGGTTCTTAATTTTCCCTATATTGCAGAATTTCCCCAGTTTTTCTAGATTCATGTCTGTAGTGTAAATTAATGCCTCTTTTTGAGGCCACTGGCCACACAACTTTTTATCACCTCAAATTCAACTGGTTTCAACTTAATACCACTCTTGATGACACAGAGCCAAGTTACTTACCTCTTCTCTGATGATAATTTACATTTCTTGAGAAATACCCATATCACAATTCAGAGGATCAACTTGGTGTGGAGATATTATTTTTATCTGTAAACTTTGTGAACGAGAATCGAATTCCATCAGCACCATCTCGAGGATAAGATTTCTCACTGTCAATCATGACCTACTCTTTACGGTTCACCTTCTAACATTTTCAAGACAGTTTAGCCTCCCACATATCTGATGAGGGAGGTACCTGTTTTCTCTGAAAAAAATGTTGTTGATGTGGACCTCATGTCTCATATTGCCTGCTGTTTATATGGGCGGCCAAAGTTTCCAGACATATCAACCGTGGTTGCTGTCAGGTTTGGCCTCAAAATGTTCATCTGCCCCATTATATGTACTTTTCAAAGGGTCAACAGTTTCAGTTGGTATCAAGCAGTGATATTCGGCATTCTGATAACTATGTGAGATTTTTCATGCTAAGTGAATTATTGTGCACTTCTGCGCTGATGGCCAACCATAGTTTACCAGCCGATGGTAGGCGAAAAAATATGGCTATGAGATGTAAGAGGAGAGAGGTCTCTTGGAAACTGCATCGCCACATGCAGATATTGACCGCTGAGGTTCATTCATTGTGCATCCATGCCTAAGTGAGGTTCTCCTGAGCAAACACTCCCCTAATTTGTGCACATTCAGTTGAAAACTGGCAAGCATGTATTTTTCTCGATCAGGATCAAACCTGCAATGTGAGCTGACTTTGTCCCTCCAAGACCTCATTTGAAAGAGCTGTCTAGTACATATTGCTGCTTAGCAAGCTAATGTGCTATGCAAAACTAGTAGGGAACAGTTGTAAGAATGGTAACGTAACAGGCCAAATTCCTTTTGGCTGAGCAAATATTTTCTTCACTGAGCAAACTTCTGGGCTTGGAAGATTTGTGATCATCCCTGGTGAGTAGGCCAACCACTCTTCTCCGGTCTCAACAAAGCCCATGGATTTTTCCCCCAAATCCTTGTTTTTCTCTGATTTCAGGTTATACTTTTTGTAAATTCAGTATCATTTTTTTACCTGCATCAGCAAAGTGTCTAATGTGCGGCCAAACTTTGAAAGCGCTGTAATTTGTCTCAAACAGTAAACATAAGACAATGATTCTCGAACCTCGGGGATAAATCAAATGCCAGATATGAAGCCCAGATCTAAGGGTCAGTAAAGCCCTTGATTTCACAAGCAACCTTTAGTTTGCATGCATACCTCAGCTTCCAGATAGGGGAAGTGCTGGGCCAGTTTCTTGCCCACCACTGGCCACCTCTTGCCAGTCAGGTTGGCCATCCTGGCCACCTCCACTGCCTTGTCTCCGTACGTTTCGCTCAGGTGCCTTGCAACCTGTGGACATCAAACATGCAAATCAAGATCACTCCATTCTGGGCCAGTTACCATTGGGTTAACCAAAAGCAATCCTTTCTTCCAGTAGACACCAAACCACGTGATGGCTTCACATTTGCTTACCAAGACTCCTCAAAACATTGCACAGTATCTTACAGCCAATGACTTTCCTTTCAAGAGCAAAATATGGTCCGAAAATTTTTTTAAATTTTGAACAGAAAGTGTTATGGATTCTCAAGCACTTAATTTTCTTCTTAAATTATCTATTCCTATCCCTTACACAAAGGAAATATGGTTAGATTAGATTTCAGACACTTACACATTACATAAGTTATTTTAATGAATTTCATCAACTCCAGAATAATCTTTGCAGAACCTTTCACAAACATCTTTGTGGAGGAAGATTTCCAGCTTTTTTTTTTTTTTCAGATCACTCCAGTCAACGAGCAATTTACAGCGAGAGATTTCTTAACCACTTCGTGCCGGGGTGCCCGGAACTGGAGACATTGGCTTTACACACAAAGCCGGGGTGCCCGAAATCGGACAAAGGAGCTTCGCCTTGTAACAAAAAAAGTACTTGGAACACAAAAGATAAGGCTGCTGGGAATTGCCAACATTTTTTCAGTTGTGGCATTCTTTGTGGCATTCAGCGCGTGCGGATTACCAACGGGGACAAAAGCGCTCCAGGGATGGGCGATACAATACTGCTGGTCCACATTTGAAAAGATGCCAGCAGCGCACTGGGCCAGTTTCGGGGACAAAAGAAAATTACATAACACCGCACAATCTGGGCTCTCTTTACAAGGCGGCAGGCCTGGCTGAAATACTCGGGTGTCAATAAATGTTGTCTGTCAGATGAGAGTAGCCACCAGACAGTCATTCATGTGGGTGTAAACGTCCAAGTTATGAATTTTGGAAGAACTTTGAAGATGGAAAATCTTGAAAATTTCCCGGGGAATACGTCATGCAACTTCAAATTAAACCCAGCAGCATATGGTTAAAATCAATTTCATTTCCCTTCACGAGGATTTTAAATTTCTATTAAAACAAATTCACAATCTGAGTACAATGTGCACCTCATCGTCCAATCCAAAATCCTGGATGAGGCGGATGAACATGTTGGGTGTCCATCCGTGACCTCCCTCTAAGACCAGGCCGTCGGTCAGCGAATCGTTCTTGGGTTGGAGGTTGCAGGCCTTGATGGCTGCGTCCACTGCATCCTTGGCCATACTGCGATATGTGGTCCACTTACCACCTGTGAAGGAAGGATGCTGAACAGTTGGAACATGTTGATGAAATTCTGCATGGGGGAATGGTCACTTTTTCAAGAATTCGAACATGGCAGTTGATTCTGGCGAGCTGTCACCAAGTGGTTACGGCATCTGCTGGACTAGGCAGGATGTTGTGGGTTGCAATCCTGCCCAAGCAAGTGTTTCACTTTGTTTTCAAAAACTGATAAAATTTTGCACGGGGAAAATGCAACCTTCTCAGAACAATTTGATTTGGCCTGCAGACTTTTGCAAGCTCTGATTCAAAGTGGAGCTATCAACTGAAATACAGTTTTTATCATTCTCCACCGCTGTTTCTACTGGGTTGGCAAGCTAGGCCGCCACATGCACATGCTCATTTGAGGTAGGCACATATGTACATACCAATGTACTCTGTTGTGCCTATGCTCAAACTGACTGAGCCTGTTTAAATGAGAGAATGTAAACTATGACATTACACAGGTCTGTGGACAATGCCTACCTGCTATGGTGACCATTTTATTGCTACTGACATCAATGACGTGATTTCTGGCAATGGACTCTGTGTTCTTGGCTTTTGGATCTCTGACCAATGGCCTAATGCCACTCCAAGCAGCAAGGACATCACCCCGCCTCACTGCAGAAAAAAGAAATAAACTCTCAAATTAAGGGTAGACATTGTGAACAAAAGTTTTCTCAACGGTAAAAAAGAAAGGTTGTGCTAAAAACATGCAATCTGATGTCAATGAATATCTATAGTTTTGAACCGGGTTCCAAACTATTCTCTTTTATCAGGCCTTCTTTAAAAATTAGGAATTGTGACTTTTTGTTGCTGATTCAACTTTTGCTTCCAGATTTTATGATATTCAATGTTATTGTTTTGTATTTGTGAGGAATCGCTTTGCCAGATTTTTGGTGCGTGTGACTGTTTTGTATTCATGAGGGGTCAGTTTTTTGTACCCATGAGGGGTCATTTTTTGTGGCTTTGTTTGTTTGTTGGGATGTTTGTTTGGTTGTTTTGGGGCTGCTTGTTTGTTTTGTTTCACTTTCCTCGTAAGTACTTTTGTTGCTGTTGCTGGGAGGAGTCCTAGTTTTCTGGTCTTGTGGTGATTTTTTTTGACAGCCATTACAACTTTTTATGGGAATGTTCTGTTCTTTTCATAGTGGGGTTTGTTTCTCAATTAACTTTAATATTTATATGTGAAGCACTTTTCAGGATGATTATATTTGAATTATAGTCTTTTGTCTATAGCTGTAATCTTTTTGTTATATATTACGGGTGGTTTCCACATCGACGTAAGAAATGCAGAGAGCAATGCAATCAAGATGCAAACTGCAAAACAAACAAATGGAAACATGCCAAACAGAAGTGTCGCCACAAAAGCAAACCAGCCCCAGACGGATTGGCAAAGTTGAGCCCAGTTCAACTTTGCCGACTGTCTGCGTGGAGTCGCTGAGTAGTCCTACACAAACACACACTTTGGCATGACGGGCGTACAACGATTTTCTCATGCTTGGTACCACTGATTTTGTCCAATTTCTCCTTATTGCTAGCATATGCAGCCCCATTCGTCGACAAAATAGCAGACCATTAACAAACTACATCAAACTGGAGCATCAGTTTGGCTTCAAGAGGCAACATTGCCACCTAAAAAAGGCATTTTTTGTATTTTTTCACATGCCTTTTTGTTTAGTTTTGGTGGAATGACTTCGCACAGCGTCTCTTCTACGGCTGTCTGCGTCTTGACGTCTTACGGACCGTCTGCTTTACAAATGACCATATTGAAACCAGGCTTTACTGTGATTGTAAGGGTCCATTGAATGTTTATGTCTAGGTGCCTTGCTACATTGCTTGAGAGGGATTACCATTATGGCATTGGGGAAATGTACATTATCTTGGGATATGCAGCTTTTAGGTAAGATTCTTCTTCCCACAAGTAAACGCATGTTGTATGACATACCCGTGGAAAGTCACTAATAACAACGTAACCCTATCTTGTAAACCACACACGGCCCTCTATAGGGCAGGCAGGCACACTATCGTAACAGTGCTTTAAACCAGTTTTAAAGTGGGCATATAAACTTCAACAAAATCCTGACTCAATACAAATGCAAACTCATATTTCAAAGGCACAGGAAATAACAAAAATCAAAATTGCAGTATGCATTTACAAAGACAGAACAGAGCCAAGCAACACATTAAGGCTTTGTTTGCAACAGGCATTGTTGTAAAAAGCTCTTTACTACGGCATTCCCAAAGTAAAAAAAAAAGAACCCCAAAGGGCAAAATATCTGATATGGACCAGGTCTAAAATTAAGGAAAAATGATACAACCAAGGCCATACAAATATGAAACTTAAACACTGCACCTCCACAAGGAAAACCACGCAAAAGAGATTATTAACCCTTCAGGAATCATTGCAGATATACTTATTACACAAGAGACCAATGCACTGAAGTCTATTCGCTATATTGATCATCATAGCCATACGCAACCCAATAGTCAAAAAAAGTGTTGTCACCCACAGGACTAAATGGATCATTCCACTGACCTCCGGGTCAACACATTCAGCCCCTGATCTGAAATGCATCTGTACGCACCTGCTACTTCCGGACTGAGATAATCCTTGACCTCGTTTAAAATGAACTGGATTTCGTCCTCGGTGGGTCCGGGGTTGTGCGTCACCTTGCAAGGGTTGTCCGTCGTGCCGGCAATGGTGAAGTTCTGCCACGGCAGGAAGAAGATGACCCGGCCATCGCTGGTGGCAGGGTCCAGCAGACCCATGGCTTCTGGACTGAGAGACAAAGAGTCAAATCCCTCAAAGGTTATTGAGCAGGCGTACCTCTCTGAATGCGATTTCGGTGCATGCATGTAGCCACTCCTCATCACCAAGTGCACTCCGTAATTCAAAAAGTCACCAGCAACAATTACAAGAGTATTCATAAGCATCACACGTTAAAGCTGGGTCTTAAAAAATCATAGAAATGTTGGAGAGAGGAGAAAAGGTTAATGTACAGTTTCTGAATCAATAACAGTGGCATATCGTATCAAGTGATGATTAAAATTTCATGAAACTTCGTTATATTGGATCTGTTGTGGGGTGTATGGGGCTCCTTTTTATTTTGGGGAAGGTTTAATAACTTGTAGGTAATAGAAATATATTTAATCGTAAAATGTAAAGAAACACTGGCTCACAGAGGCATGTCGGTTTATCAGGAGAAACTTCACTTGTATACCTACCTGTAGTAACCAGGCAGCACGATGTGTATACCTGAGCTGGGTGCACAGATTGTGGTGGCCTCGGGCTCGGCCATCTTCCTGACGGAATCCGTGAATGGCCCCGTCGCATTGATGACTGACTTGGCGAGGACGCTGTACTCCTTGCCTGCGGTTAAAGGCATTGTGGGAAGCCCACAGGTTTTACCAATTCCACAACTGGACTGAATCCGTGTCAGTATGATTTATCATACACAGTGACAGATCAAATAAGCATCGGTACAACTGGAAGTCTAGAGCCAAACAATGTAGCACTTGGGAGTTTGGTTCAACAGAACAAAAAAAAAGGATGAGGAAGAGAAAAAGACATTTCCATTAAAAGTGGGGAAAAACACTCATATATTTTTGAGAATAAATCTTACATGTACTATATAACGATAACAGATTTTTTTATAGCACTTTTTAACTGAGATCAAAGCGCCTTCCGTTATTACTACCCCTGCTCACTGGGCTCGTGAAACATTTCAAATACAATCTCAGCTCCCTAAGGAGTACACAGCTTGATGCTGCCAATTCAGCACACAGCACCTAAATCAACCACAATAACCATCTCTGCCCTCACAGGGTAGCCAATTACTCCTGCGTGGGGAGAAGCAACAAGTGACAAAGCGCCTTGCGCAGGGATACGGTGATCCTCGCACCATGATCCCAGGCTAGATTTGAACTTAAAGAGGACTATGAATCCAATGCTTCTAAACCACAAGGCCATAGCACTCTAAACATATTACAATTTAAATGCTCAAGAAACTTTCTGTTATTTCTAGAGGTACTTTCATCGCGACTACAAACGCATGTACTGGTAAGTCATCGAGTTTGGCAACATATACTTAACAGTCCAAACTCAAAAGAACACCACGTCTGGGTCATCTAATTCATCAACAGCATGACTCAAAACCCACCTGTCATCTTGTCCCTGACTAGCGCTCCTTTGATGACCTCCTGCCCACTTGCATCCTTGCCTTTGATCACGCTAAGCACCTCCGTGTGGTTGGCGACTGTCGCCCCCATCCTCGCTGCTGTCAGTGCGATGGCGATATTCATTCTGGCATCATTATGCTGACCTATGAGCATTTATTTTGAAGAGAAGGTGTTCATTTTGACAGGTGAGCGTGACAATAAATGTGTTATTACCCAGCCTAATCCGAACCATATCAAATGCGACCATTATTAATGGATCCACCATACTAATGTAGATGGTACATACATGTATGCTTCTGTTAAATGTCACAAACTTTGAAGTTTATTCTGTAATAACAATAACAAGATTTTGTAATTGCTATTCCATCCACAGTGTCCATGTTGATCCAGGTGCTAAGCAACACCACGTACGGAAAAAAAGACACAATTTAAACAGGAAAAAAGATTAAGCTTGGTTTTAAAAGCTTTTAAATGATGTGGTCTGCAGTGATCTGATGTTCCAGAGCTTAGCTCATTTCTATTCACATTAACCCTGAAAAGGCCAGGGGCTCCACATTTTCTTCAGTACAGTCATAGTGCATTCTCTTATTCTGTTTTTTTCTTTTTTTGCAAAGAGCCTTCAGAAGTTTTCGCCCTCATGTCTCGTGATTAGCGGTTAGTGTTTACAAAGAAAGCAATAATCCATCCATTACCATCGTAATACACGATCCCGCCGACCAACTTCTCCTTCTTGAGCATGGGAAATAGCTCCAAGGCTCTTGTCTTGGAGAGAAGGTAGCTGGGCTTCAGGCACTGCCTACCAGCCACCAGGTCGTACATCTTGATGCCTGCCCAGAAATAGGGCAGCTGCCACCACCTTCCGCAAAGACAATACATTTATGAGAAGCGCTCTGGCTAAAACCACGTGTATATGTGGAAGTGGGTAATAATTACACCCATACAAGATCATGAACAACCAACCACTGGAAAAGGGATGCCCAGTCTTACTTTTTTCAATCAGTTCCATGGACTTGTCTCACATTGGGCTACTATTTATATGGCTGACCAAAGTTTGCAGAAACGTCCAACTTGGTCGGTGTGAGATTTTTCCTTGAAACATAAATTTGGCCCATTATCTTTAAAGATGTTCACGTTAGTTTTGTATCTACATACAGTGGTAATGTTAATTGTTTTGAATTTTGATAGCTGTGTGAGATTTGTCTTAAGACCCAGTAAACTTTTCTTTTGCTTCTGTGCTGACGGTAAGCCATAGTTTTACCATACCAGCTACTGCGACGGTAACACAGCAACTCTGATGCAGAAAAAGCAGACTCTACAACCAAGAACTGCCTTCAAAAAGATGACAAGATAACTGATATATCAGACACTGCCTGAATAATTCCCTTTGATTTCAACGACAGGTTCCATTAACGGATAGTCAATCGAGTGTCACCGAACGATCTGTCCCAATGCACAGCATGACTACAATGGCAAATGCAAAAAACCAGAAGTTCTATCCATGGTACACGTGAAAAGAACATTCTATTATATGGGCACTAGAAATTTCTGAACTCGTCAGAGATGCAAAGATTTATCAAGGCAGATATGAATATGTATACACGTTCTTTGGATGTGAGCAGAGGGAATAGGCAGCACGTTTTGGGAAGAAATCAACCTAAAGAAATCAACCTAAACAGGCCTGAAACCTCCATTTTCAATCAAAATTGTCAAATAAATCCATTGGAGATGGGGCAAATACTCACTTGTACACCGGCAGCATTATGGGAAGTGGCGAGGAGAGATGAGGGGCAATCTCTAGCAGGTTGGCCCTTTCATGCAGGGCCTCCTTGACCAGCCGGTACTGCTCCAAGTCCAGGCCCTTGATCGCTTTCTCCAGGTAGCGCACGCCGCCGTGGATCAGCTTGGTGCTGCGGCTGCTGGTGCCCGCCGAGAAATCGTACATCTCTACCAGTGCCGTCTTCAGCCCTGGAGGGAAAAAATGCCCTTGAAAATGCACTTTTGTGTTTCAACTAACCTTACTTTCAACTTTGTTTTGCTACAACGTATTCTAAAAGCAACATATTTTTGGCACACTTTGGAGGTTTTCTGCTGATGCCAATTTCCATATTCACGAACAAAACTGTAACGCCATCTGAGGGAGAGGTCTTCAATGTTGCATTGATTTGTGCATAAAAGAAACTTGACAGTTTTGACATTTGCTGTCATAAACTTCCCTTTCTTTTGTGATTTATTGTTAGCAAGTATAACCGACGTCTACCACTCTCTCAAAAGTGCTTTCAATGAACAAAATGTTAGATTTGTAATTTGAACAGAAAACATATGAACTTAACAATGGACCAATCTCCGTGTTTGAAAAAAGTGCATTACTCATTACACTTAACCCCAAAGGTTGTCAAATAGGTTTCATTCATTACAGTGTGGTATAAAGTTGCACCTATAATCACACGGACCTCAAATAAAGAATACTCCTGGGTGATTATAACATGTGGTGTATGGTGAACTCTCTCCCATGAAATCTGCATAATTATGTTTATGTACTTGTAAGCACACAAATACCATAATTTTTGGAATATAAGCCATGCGGTGTATGAGCTGAAGCATGCGAAAATTGGCAAGTTCAGATTTAAAGTCGGCAAATAAGCTGCACTGCAGCAGTGACGATCCAACCATGAAGGTTCATTGTGCTGTTTCCTGAAGCATCAGTACAGCATGTACGGTATGTAAAAGGTTCCACTACATGTGCGATCCTAATACCCCAAAGTAGAGTGCGACCGAGTGCCACCATTCAAAATGAATCAAAAGTCCTCCCAAATTAATACATTTTGCAGTGTGGATGGTTGTCCTGCGTGGGCCGTGCGGCAGCTCTTGCCTTTTTTCCAAGCCCCCCAGCAAAAGTTATGTGGATGTACAATAAAATCTTGGTAACTCGAATTCAGTTCAGTGGAAAGACCGTTTATCCGGTAGGCTGAATTTTTCTCGCTAAAAGAATACAATTTATTACAAAAATACCTCAATACCTCCAAATGTTCACAACACTACATATGGTTATCTCGAAGCTTTTGTGACGCAGATAAAAAAAAGCCAAATTGTTTCAGGTAAAGGACCGCCGCGAGACCTTAATTCAAGTCTTCACAACCAAGCATGACCGCCTGTGTTGCATGCTGGATAGCACACACACTGCATACACCATCCTGCACCGACCGCGACAAATCCTGCTTTTGGGCTTACTGCTACCGCAGACCCATTCATGGAGAGTCCAATCGTTGACTCTTTCCGATAACCATGTGACCACAGAAAGTGACATCATCAGAAAACCCAAGTGAAAACAAGCCTCTAATTCCGTGGTGCGTCACGCCGAACACAAGATCGGCAAAAGGACAAGATTTGCTACACAAAGGTACATGTACATGTACTAGGTTGATTTTTATTTAGTGGTAGAAAGAAACCATTAGGTAACAACAACAAAAAATCTCAGTAAAACTATTATTTGTTTGTAAAAAATACACCATGAGAAAGAATAAAAAGCAGGAAACTATCACTAAATGTTGCCATTACAGCAGAGCAAGTAAAGTTTGTTGTGATTGATTTTTCATTTATTCTTCGAGGTTCGAGTTACGTAAACGACAACCAACATGACCAATGAAAACACGACTGCCCCACTAGTGCTGTACATGGTACGTGTGGACTGGGCAGGGTTTCTGTGACTGATTTTATCCTTCAAAGTTTTTCATACAAGCATATAAGCCGCAGAGACAACTTTCAGCATGAGAATAAATGTACATGTATAAGCCGTAGCTTATATTCCGAAAATTACGGTACATGCGCACATCAAATAATTAACTAACTCTTATTCATCACCTTTATGCCCTCATCTATTCATGGTGGGGTTGCAAGTGGTTAAACTAAGCCCATTTTCAACTCGATTTAAACTATAATTCAATTTTACATTTAATGTTTTGGAAAACACAGAGCACATGTATTTGGGTGACTGCTGACGTGATATTCCTTGAATACCTATGAAAATCCTGACAGGAAATCTGCGGGCACATCTACGTGTACAGACACATTTTACTCTATTGACAGATCAAATCCGCTCACAGAAGCAGAAACAACATGACGAGTGCCTGAACATTGTCACTGCATTCTGACATCAACAGTTGCATAATTTCACATTCATGTACATCTATGGCTCTGGTTCTGCTAGGGGCCTATTTGGGACCGAATCTAAATTTCCCTGAAGAAATTGAAGGAACTCATAAACTTCACGAATACACTTCATTGGTGAATACATTTTCTGTTTTGAAAAGCTATCTTTATATCATCTTTAAACTCGTGTTGACAGTCAACCTTTGTTCATTTGGCACAGCCATGAATAAGCCTCTGCACTGATGACGTCACATTTTGTTTACATGTGCACTTTTCTAAGAAGCTGGGCCAACAGTCCACTAAGCACTACAGCAAAAGCCCACGCATAAAGAAAGTATTGCGTCATCAGTACAGAGGTCTATTGATGCTTACTGATTAAACTCAAAGGAGTGGGGTCCAAATTTCTGTTCTCAGTTTGGAACTAATCACCGAGGTTTGTGCTCAATCAGAAGGAACGGCAAGTAAAAATCAGAAAGCAGGCAGCTTTAATGAGCCTGTACTCTGACTAAAGTTCATTGGTGACAAGGTTCTACAGTACTGAGATCTATGTGGAAAGCTGAATAGTGAGAATGCAATTTTACTGAGCACTAACAAAAACTTTCTTAGCAGAAATTGTTTACCGGCTAAAATGCCTTGTGGCAATCCTACTAGTGACTGGTTCCCTGCTGTTTTTGCAGAGACCAAGCAAGTTTGCTTGGCAGATCTGTGACCTCTGTCCTGGCATTTACAATGTGCTGCCTGGCATTGTTTGCTTGAAAGCTTCCTCAGAAACTCCAAAATTGAACCCTTTGTGCCGGTAATACGCAAACAAGTGTATTCTTTGTCAGGCACGTTCACTTGGAAACAGTCCCAGTTTCAGCATACAGGCCCCTGAGTTCTAAAATATATCCGCATACTGCAAGAGCTGGTGTTAAAGATAGACTTGGACTGTCCGTATAAAGTCACTGTTAAGGGGGCATACCACATTTGCAGTTATCCAAAAAATTGAAATATTGTTGAAAAGCTTACTTGGTTTGAAGATGGTGACACTAAACTCCTTTTGAAATTATTCTTGCTGGCAAACTGTCATTTTATGAATTTTGGGCCGACTAAATAGTTGAAAGAGAACCTGGTTGACTGTTTCATAAGCTTTACATGTACATGTACTTCAGTAGTATTTCATATCTCTCCAAGAATTAGGAATTGGATGCCTATACCCACCGCGACTGACGGCATCCAGTGCCACTCCACATCCAGTAGCTCCGCCCCCAATGACTAGCACATCAAACTCGTGAGTGTTCTGCAGTGACTGCATTTGCTGCTCTCGAGTCGGCAGGGGCATGCTGAGGTGAGCATTGCGCAGCTCAGCAGCCACGACATGGGCCTGCCGATTCTGTCGGAAGGGGTTTTTAAAAAGAAATGTGCGATTTCAAAGTTTGTTTCAAAACACATTACCGGTACCAGTTTTTTTTGCACATGTAGGTCACGTACATGTAGGTCATGCACATGTAGGTCACGTACATGTAGGTCATGTACACGTAGGTCACGTAAGTTGGCACATGATTTTAGTACTTACATGACTTAAGAGAGCAGCACTGACAATTATTAGATACAAGTCAATAAGAAGTCAACAGTCAAATCACATCAAAATATTCTGTGTGCGTAAATGTACAGCATGTGCTGCTAATGTTCACGTATGCAACTACGCACATGATTTCAGCAACAAGGCAATGATGCCGATGATAGGTACTATTACGAGTCCCATGAGAAGTCAACAGCTGTCAATTAACGATACAGCCATCTGCATTGAACATAAACTTCACTTGTGAATTCTGAGGTATAATGAGGCACAAATGACTATTTCTGATTTCCTCCCCTCAACAGACCTTATTCACAAGGGAGCCATTTTGATCATGTTCCCTAATTCTATCCAACTCAAAGTAATATCACTGTCAAAGGGGTGGTACCAGGCTATTTGGGGTTCCATGCCTCACTTTCAATTTTTTTCGAAGTTGCTTAACACACATACATGTATGTAGATCTTCATGATAAATCACAAAATTTAAACTGTTCATCACTTGTAAATGAAATTAATCTGTACTGAACTTTTTTGCTTACATGTAGGCTCCCAAAATTAAAAAAGTAAACCTTGCTTTCAATTCAAAATGGCCGATTTGTGAATAAGATCACTTTTAGTTTTCCAGTGTTATCACATACTGATGAATCACCAATCCATGATGTGGTTCTTTAAGGGCATTTCAATACCCCCCTCTGATATTCTGTCACTGAAGCCTTGCATACAAGAAGGTGTGTTTCCTAAATACACTACTCTACTACTAACTTGTGGCAAATTCAAAGTTTCACGTCAGCTGCTTCACAAACAAGTACAGTTCTTTTTATTAAAATGGTTAAGAAGTATGTCTTCACCTCGCCGAAAATGCTCGCCCTTTCAGAGGTTGAAAGGTTCCCAAAGTTTAAACAATGCACAACCTTTACATTATTTTAGTGATTCACAAAACTACCAATTTCTATACTCATCCAGTCATCCTTCAAGAAAAGCATTGACCAATTGCAAGCTTTTACTGGCTCCAGGTTTTAAAGACTTTTTCCTTCTGTCTAAGTTGGCTTAATCCAAACCAAACCACAAAAGTGAATTCCCAATCTAAATGTACATGCACAAGTACCTTGGAGAGTTTCTGAGCCGAGTTCCTGCTGACAACGTAGCCGGCCAGTAGTGCGCCAGCTCCCAGGAGGCCCCCGCCGATGACAACCTTGCGCAGACGGCCAGATGACGCCATGACACCAGCCAACTAACCAAACCTGTCTACCAGGCGCAAAACAAGGAACAGGAAGATGGAGCACTTGGGTGATTCTGAAGCCAAATTTATTCCTTTTGACCGATCCGCAAAGACACTGTATTTGTGGATCACTGATGTACATGTGTAAGAGCATTAGGCTGTGTCCTGCTCACTTGGCTGCGGCTTGATATTACACATGACTCTCTGAGAACTGGCAGCAGCCACTACATAGACTCGCTGCCAAGTACATGTACATGTACCAGTATTTTGGATGTGGCCCGAGAACCTACACGTACATGTATGTACATGCACAGGTGAAGATTGTTGCTCTCGATGTAAAAAATATTATGTGTCAACCACAGGCAAAGAGAAATTTTCAACAAATTTTAATACAGGGATTGGATGCTACAGTAGTTCTGTATTATCATTTAGTAGTTTTCTTTGAAGCTTTAAAGGGCATGTCGGCTGGCTAAATACTGTGCACAACCATTTGTGACCGGCTCTAGAAAAATGGGTAATAAGTCGCCAGATTCAGGTTACAAGTTTTTAATGTGACTGGATTCTATACATCAAAAGCTAGAATTTGATATATGAATGACCCCCGCAGCATGTTGCGTTTGGGAGATATATAGACATTTGTCATATTTTGTATGTCCACATTTTCAGATTTAATAAGTTACACTTTTCAGGAAAAAGCTCATAAAGTGTAGTGCTTGGAAACACAATTCTACATGTACATGTAAATAGGATTTCCTACTGAATACTGATTGAACAATTTTTTTATCTTTATTCATCAGTATCCATGTTTGTAATCACAAATTCGGAAAATATAAATATTATAGAAGCTATTAAATGAAAAAAACACAAAATCACATTTTTGAAGAAAATTTGCCCTCTCCAAATAGAACAGGCCATGACATGTGTTGGCATTGCGTGACTTAATACCCTTTTTTTCAGAGCAGGTCACATTTGGCTAGACAACAATCGTAGATGCACATGTACGATGGATCACATTACCTCATGAAAGAACCCAATACGCATGTACCACTATACTAGTACACGTAACCCACATACATGTACATGTACGTGTAAAGTACCCAGTTTGTGAAAAAAGCACATTGTAAAGAATTTCCAATGGACAATTTGAATGTCCTGTTATTCAATCAGACAAAACATATCATCAACCATCAACCAGTTCAGTTACATGTACAGGTGTCGAAGGGCCATAATGCCATGTTGCACGGGGCAAAAATTACACTGTCACTGCCATTTGTCAAATCCTGTGAATAATGTACATGTAGAACCCTAGGACTGTTCAGAGAAGAAAGTGCATTCCGCATTGCATGCATTCTGCATATTAATCTGAGACTGGACTTAATATGCTCAGGATTTACATGTACCACAAAGCTTTTAGTTAAGAATAATCTTTTTTTGGTTTTTCTCTGTTTTTTGTTTTCAAATCATAAGGGACGTTTTGAGTAAGACCGGAAAGATGGCACATTTGGAAGTGGGGATTCCCTCCATAAGCTAAATGCATTGATACTTGTAGGTTCGTCCCTAGTGCATTTCTGCATTTCTTTGCAAGGGAAAAACTGCAGCACATGAATATTGCATACAGATTTGCAGACAAGGATGAAGCAAAGGTGAGGAATGGGGAATGTGCATCCGTTGGTTTGGCAAAAAAGCCCTCAAGACTAAAATGGTCGGATTGTCCAAAAGTTAGCGCACAGGGAATTCTTCTACAAGTAGTTACCGTTTACTCTTCCATATCCCCTGCCCCACCACACTTAAGTTTTACATGATCTTAGTATATCAGCAAACAATCCAGAGAGAGGGGTCAATCATGGCGAGATCTCGTCCAATGTACACTGTATAATAAATGGAGCACCCTCCATGCATCAAATGGCCTTTGACTTTTCAAAGGGTAACGAGCCCAAAGGGGCATCTACAAGTAAGAGTGACCGCATGCCACCTTTCCCATGGATTCGCCAGAAACCCTTCAAAAGATTCTGAGAGAAGTTGCAACCTGTCACTACAAAATGAGCTGAAAGTTGTAATTTTCCAAAATTGAGGTATTGGTATTTCTAAATTCGGCAGAAAAAGAGCTTTCCAATGATATATAACACTGGTAAAAGTAGAATGACAACGTGACATTATTCCGACAGCTTCGTACCTTTGTTTCCGACATTGTTTAAACATTTCTGACCGGGCACGAATAAGGCTATTGTCAAAATTGGTAAGAAAATGACTTTTTAACTACCTGATCCTGCTCCAAGTTCGGGACTTCACTCTTTTCAAATATAACAAAACCCCAAAACGTGACCTCCTCTTCCATTTTAACCATCATAATATGAATGAGCGGAGAGCGACTTTATGCTCAATTTGTCATGACAGGTCACAATGACCCCGTCATCAGTAAGGATGAGATTGGTTGGGGTCATGTTAGTTGGGTGCCTGGTGCTACGGTGAAGACTGCACATATTCCGACAGAAATTGGTCATGTACATGTAAGTCCCGTAACAAGCGCAAACAACCTGTGCACAAACGTGGAGCATCCCTACTGTTTAATAATACATGAGCCATCTTTTCTTCATGAACTTTAACCCTAACAGTTCTTCATGAAATTTGCCTCAGTACTCAGTACTACAAAATACTAAGCGGTAGTCTAAACCTGAAAGACCTAGCGCTACAAATTACTACTTCTGGCTAGGGTATCCTCCACTGTTACTCGTACAGAGAACAATAAAGTTGTGTATTTATAGTGCCAGAGCACTGTATGGTACATTGTCTTATCTATTGTATTTTATGGCTTCAGAGAACAATAATGTCATGTCCTCTTACAAGCGCCAGCACTGTATACTACATTTTACCAATAAGCAGTACTTTGTAGTATTCAGGGCTGTGAGGGTAATACATCTGCAATTCTTTCCTTTATGCATACTGAATAACCCTAACACTCCTCAGTCCTCTAACAGGTGAAGGATTGAGGAGTGTTAGGGTTAAGCTAGCCCCACTTGCATGGTACGGACTCTCACTCTAAGGATGGATCGGGAGTGAGAGTCCGTGCCACACTAGTGGGGCTAAGATTAAGCATAACCTTATTCAAGTTATTGCACTGAGCCAGTACAAAAAGTAGCGTGAGTAGTCTACTCTGAGATGGTGAGACACTGCATTAGGTCCTGCTGAATAATGTCATAGTTGGATCTTGTGAGCTGTGGAACGTCCCCAAAGACATTACCAAAGGGAAGCTTGTAAGCCCTGAAAATAGTTGCTCAAGTTTGGATAAGTGTTCGGTATCCAACTTCCACTCAACATGCATGACATGCTCAATATGTCAAATAGAAGAATAAACACGATAAATACTAGGCAATTGCATGGTATCGTCAGAGGGAGAGTTCCATCCCTTAAAATGTTAAAATGTTATCGCCCGACTATGTCCAAATATTTTAAAAAGGGCGCTTTTTAAAGTCCAAATTACTCGGACTAGGCCTACCAAAGTACCATACCCACCATCACGAATGACATAGCGGTAATGTCGGTCGTGGCGGGTACGATATGTTGACATTACTCATTAGGCTTATCACGTCCTAACCTGTGTTTATTGACTGCAGCCACACTATCTAGAAACTAATCACTCAAATCGTCCAGCATTTTCTTTAGATTCGAGGAACTTATGACATTTCCATTAAGTGCAGCAAGCAGGGCAGTTCACGAGTTTGATTCGCCACTCCTTTTTCGTAGCGTACATGTAAACGTATTTTTATGTACTACTATACTAGGCCTACATACCCAGCGCGCTCGCTCGCGCGGAGAGAACTATACCAATGTAAGACAGAAACCCTGAAGCATGTCATTTGCTAAGTACTTTAAATGGCACATTAAAAAGTGCACCAGGCTAATTTTGTTGCCGAACATCAACATACGCATGCGTACTAAAATTCTGTCAGGAATTCTTTTAACAACGGCTGATACCTGTGTTTTGCTTGAATTTACATTTACTTCTACATTTATTTCATTTTTCGGGATACATACAAATTACAGCCAAGAAAGTTACATATATAAAAATACAAACATTACAAAGGGACAAAATCAATAAACAAAAAACAATACACAATATCCACTTAGCTCCCGATGGATTGCCTAAAAGAAACAAGTTTCTGTCGAGAGGCTCTCCAAACTAAGTGGATCATGAGAATTCCAGGTATAAATGTTAATGTAGCATCTTAACAGGGGACACAATTTTTCAATGAAACAAAATACGTAAGTTCTCGACATGACATGTAAATATTAAACTGAACATAATGTCTGCAATTAAAAGGAGAATAAATAATTGAAGTAAATAAAATTAAAGTGACCAATTTACTAGATAGTAAAATGAATATGAACAGTACATGTATATACGGGGTTACGGGTGTCAATATTAATCAAAACCCAGTTTACAAGGTATTGCTAATGCATAACATTCTAATTACATCTAATACCGAGAAATGCAGCTTAAACCTAATACTCCTCAGTCCTGCACCTGTTCAAGGTGTGAGGAATGTTTGGGTTGATTTACTGAAATGTGATTAGATAATTGCCTCTGGTGTACAGGAAGAGAAGAGGATTCTGATATATGCATGTTGGCAAGAGTGTTCTAGGGGGCAAGTGAAATAGGGTCTAGGCTGAAGAGATAGTCTTGTAAAGAGTTGATGAAAGGTTTCAAAGAAAGTTCGAGACAAAGGCCCGGAATGTCACCAGAGAGTAAGTTAAAGTACCTTGGAAGGAAGATGAACGTAGAAAATTTGGAAATAGTACGGCTGTATTGGTGCTTGAATAACAAAGTGTTGGTTTTCCTGATGTTGACCTGCGGGAGAAATTAGGAAGAAAGAGAAACCTGTTTGTAGAGGCATTTGACAACAAATGAGATGCTGAGGTAGAGTAGGCGATTGTACAAAGGAGGCAATTGAAGCTTGGCAAGACATTGTTGATAGGTAAGAGAAATAGCAACATTGTAAGGAAGGCAAGATTTAGTGAAGCGGCGTCGGATTGTTTCAAGACATTGGATGTGGTTTTTCTGGTGGGGTAGCCAAACTGGTGAGCCGTATTCCAATACTGATCTACAGAGAGAAGCATAAGTTGAGTAAGACACTGGCATTTCTGGATTTTACAATACGTCTCATGAAACCAGCAAGTCTGGAACACTTTCTGCAAATGATGTCTTCATGTTTGGACCAGGTGAGGTTATTTGAAATAGTGACGCCAAGATATTTGTAGGAGGAGACGACTTCTAGTGCTTCAGAAGCTGCAAAAAAGTATGGAGTTAGTGATTGCTTTCTGGAGCGAGTGATATGCATGACCTTGCACTTGGTGGAGGTAAGCTGCATAGAATTCTCAGAATACCAGTTGAGGATAGAATTCAGGTCATTCTGTCAAGTGGAAGCGTCATTTTTACATTTAATAATTCTACACAAAACAGTGTCATCGGCATATTGAGGGAGAGAAGATTGCACATGGTTTGGTAAGTCAACTTTGAAGAAGTTAAATAAAATGGGACCTAAAACGGAGCCCTGAGGTACCCCTGAAGTTACAAGTATCCAGTCAGATTTCGCTCCCGAGAAGAGAACTCGTTCTCTGTTGGAAAGAAAGTCAGCAATCAATAAGAGAATTTTACCACAAATTCCATACTGATGCAGCTTGTGAAGGAGGATTGAGTGATCCCATCTGTCAAAAGCTTTGGACCAGTCCAAAAAGATTGTATCGATTCGAGGAGGGCTGGAAACATCAAGTGCCTGTGACCAAGTGTGAAAGAGGGAGGCTAGCAGAGTAGTACGGGAACGTCTGGGTTGAAATCCATGTTGGGAATCTGGGATGATATTGTACTGCGAGGAGTGGTCAAGCAATTTGTTACACATAAAATCTTTAAGCATTTTGCAAGGAACCGAGGTTAATGAAATTGGTCTGTGGTTGCTGATGATGGATTTGTCAACATGTTTAAATAAAGGAACGACATTTGCCTGCTTCCAATTGTGGGGAACTACACCAGTGAGAGACTCGTATTAAATATGCTGGATAATATTGGAACAATGGAGGTACCTGCAAATATTGGGAGAGATGCCACCCAAGCCAGGTGGCGTGGATGATTTTTTCAATGACTGTTCCTTTTTTGGGTGGGGGATATATAACCTTGGCCTTGCAAGTGTAGTGTTTTGGTTCCAAATTATCACGGGGCGTGAATTACATATCTATCTACTAATGTATACTTTTTCGTCTGACTTGGGCGCGCTTATTTACGTTGCTTTTACTCAAAAAGGTTATTAAACAGGGAATCGTTCAGTTTTACCCGCATCCGCTCCGAGCGGGAACAAAAGAGGGCACGTTTTTAAATGAAATTGACAGTCCTTTGGTACGAACTCATTGCACAGGTGCGCAAGTTTATGCGCGTTTGACGCGGGAAAGACGGTGAAACTGAGACAGATGGTGCGAAGTTTACCAACTGCACGCGAAGACCATGTAACGAGACTATTCGTTGCGCGTAATGCAGGGTGCGTTCTATTAGCTCACGTGGGGAAAACCTGACCTGGCAATGGCCTTGTGTATTGTGTCAAACGAAGGAGACGGCGGGGACGAAGTTAAACCCGAGTCAATTCGTTGAAGCTAATCGAACGCCTCCATAGCGAGCTCCGCGTCAAACGTTAAACTCCGCGTTCGTCAGTAGCAATCTTTATTTAGTTTTTACATAACAGATTTTTTTTAAATATAACTAAATTTCATAAACAGTGAAACTTGTGAATTGCCAATGTGACAGATCTTGAAAGCTGCTTGTTTCGCTTGTGCACCTATTGCACGTCGACAAGCAGAAAATGTAAGTACAAGCACTTGCTGGGCAAGGAGAAAGTATCGCCCCAAACAGGTTTAGATTCTAATTAGATTATAGAATAATCCGATTAGACGCCCTAACTGCGGTGGCATCGCACTCACACGCACATTCTTCAGCTTGACGCGCGCGTGCATTTGGCAAATCACGACATCCTATTGTCGCAGAGGCATGTAACGCGCGCGTACCACCTGTGCACGAGCGTTGCGCCACCGCAGTAATGGCTTCTAATTCTGGTGGTCGAATTACACTATACGTGGCGCGACAGTTGCATCGTCAAATTACCCTGACATCGTTTTGCCATTCAGAATTTGTGCCGAGCGCCACCAGAAATCTTCAACCCGTGAGGGAAAGAAAACCAGTCTTGCTTTAGAAATGATGTGATCAATGACAACTGTAAAAGAGTATATTAAAGGATTCGGTGTGCAAGCCGGAGTCGCAAAGGGGGGGGGGTTAATGTGTGTATATATATATTATGAATACAAGTAGCACTAAATCATTGTAGTTACACACATGGAGTAAGTACCAGGATACACAATTCAAAAATTCCCTCGAGGGTGGCTCAGAGAAGACTTTGAACCGATGATGAGAGAGCTCTCGACGTTTCCAACAGGGCATTATGTCGTCGAAGGCACACCGACTGGGGTATCACCGTGACGGAAAACAGAAGTTGTAAGTTGACGGGCGGGGATCTAGGAAGTAAAAAGTGGAAATCAGTTTTTCATTATGCTTAATAAGGTTGATATTTTGATCATCGCTTGTAATAATTTCAAACGGGCCAACGTCAGGAATTTTTACAGGAAGTCAGGGATTTCATACTTATGCACCCTGACTTTTTAATTTCTGAGGTTAAAGACACTCAGGCTGAGAAAACCAAACCAGTGTTTTTGGTTAAACTGGCTTCCTTTTGCCTGCGAATATGGCGGATGATCGACGTCTCCAAGTCACATGCGCATATGCGTACTTTTCATGAGTTCCCGGTATTATAAGGGCTAGTCGCTGCCACAAATTATGCATTTGTTAATGACAGTGGGATTTCCTTAGAAGGCAGATTGACCCATCGCGCTATAAATTCAAACAAGATTACTCCCACACATCCCTTATATCCGGCCAAACTTCCTTGAATTAATGTAATACTAATATTTTACAACTGAAAGATACAGCGTTTTCAAAAAAGACTCTGCGGGTTTGTTGAAGACAGATACATTTAGAAACAAAAATCCAACGTCCTTTATGGTGTATATCTATCTTCGAACTCTCGAGAGCCACTGTGCATGAAGTTCTTTTGGTAACAGTAGCAGGCTGGCATGACAACGGTTAATTTCAATACCTCATCTATGGAGTAATTAGTACGAAAGCCACTTGCGCCATGCAGTATATATTTTTAAAAGTAAAGTGTATTTTTTTCAAGTTTCGTTTTACGAAAAAGATTTTTGTCCAAATTTTGTCGAGATTTAGTTTTACGAGATAGATCTTTTCAGTTCATTACTATGAGGTAGGCCCTATTTTTTTTCAAGTTCGTTTTGTGAGATACTAAAAGGAGCTTGAAAGATATCGTAAAACTAACTCGATAATATAATTATATTATATCTCGTGGAAAACGAACTTGTAGAATATTCTGTAGAAAGAAATTCTTTCCAATTATCGAAACAACGCTTCTAAAAGCAGGTTTTGCTTTTTTGAGAAATGTTTTTCATGTTTCTTATGATGCATATTCCGGTTTTTACATTTTACCACATCAAACTTTAAAACTTTATCCCATAAAAACTAACCTTGACAAAAGTATATCTCGTAAATATTGACGAACTTAAGAAAAACATGCCCATCACTTTTTAAAAATAGACACTTCATGGTACTAGTGGGCATTTGTAGCTTAGTGTTTAGAAACGGAACGATATTCTTTGCAGAAGCTGTCATCCAAAAGGTGTATGGGCAGCGCATCGAGACTGGAGACCGCAGGCTTTAAGTCACTAGGCGAAATTTAGTGTCCCTAAAGGCTCGTGAGGTTATTTATAAAAGTCTCAGCAAGCGTTGAAAATCATTGCTGAGAGTTTTTTCTGTGTACGTCAGGGGTACTGGAACAATATTTCCCTATTTTTTGCCCACGAACTACGCATAGTCAGCGTTTGGTGCTGCTCGAAAATGTGAGAAATTGCAAAAAATATATAGCTCATCATCTGCACCGAATGTGGCGGCTGGCATTTTTGGAGGCCCCCCAAAAGAGCCATGAAAGCAGACTTTATCTGTTTATGCGCAAACCGAATCATGGATACATATCCAGATGAAAAGAAAATTGCGCGGACCTCCAACATGGCTGTCGTGTAACAGACCAATGAATTTATATGGACAGTCCCAAACATCCTCAAGCCCATTACAATATAATTAACGACAGAAAACATTGCCAAATCGGAGAGATATAGCGCCGGCTGGTAACGCTCAGGAGGATCGTGGCCTTGCGTGTTTCACTGGAAATTCAAGATTACGATCACTTGGACAATATTTCTTTTCAGTTTTACGTGGTAATAGGATATCAGGCTCAGGTCTGAATGTAGCCATCCGCCTCGCAGCAAAATAGGCCAACCAATCGGAGGTTTTTGTGAATGAAATATCCCGAGTTGGAAGCCAGGAGTCCCAAATGCTTGGTGTAGAGAAAAAGTTTTCTGATCGGTCTTGGTTATGGCACATCTTATTTGAAATAACCTGTGGGATCGCAAAATATTTAATAAGCTCGCACGCAGGAATCTGGTAACTTAGAGGAGAGCACATATCACAAACTTTCAACTGCCTTCGGAAAAAGACAGATCCACAATATAATGGTAACCTGTTCCGAACGGCAAGCTGGTTTGCGGAATTTTCATTATTCAGTCGTTGGCATTTTGTTTAAACAGTTTGTTCGTGCGTGGACGAAGGCGTCCTTATTTAGAGGCTTCATTTATTTTCCCGAGGCATTTGAACTCCCGGAAGCATGGACGCCCCCGCAAGCCTGAGAG